GAAGAGCGATCAGCGCTGCCTGACCCTGCAGGACATCCTGGAGCAGACCCCGCCGGCCAGTCCCCCTGGCCCCGTCCACCGAGCCACGCGGGGCCGCCGCAGCTCCGAGCGCTCCGGCAACAGCCTGGGGAAGTCCGCCGACCGCCCGGCCGCCACGCGCGAGCGCCGCACCCACAAGCGGCCACGCGACAGGCGCAAGGCTGGAGACCCGGGCGAGCGCGTGACGGCTCGGGCTCTGGCCCGGACGTGCGGTGACGAGGCGGCGGGGGAGCCGGCGTCGGGAAGCTGGGACCCGGGCGCCGCCCGCGCAGCCGGAGCCGGGCGCGCGGCTGCTCCCGGCGCCGAGCTGCAACCTGCAGCGGCCGCCGCGGCTCCTGCAGCAGGTGCCTGAGCGGGCCCGCGCTCGTCCGAGCCATCGTGCCCGAGGGGGAGCCCGAGGCGCGCCGCCGCCTGCAGACCCCGCCCTGCAGCCGCTTCGCGCCACCCTGCCCGGCCCCGGAGGTGCACCCGGCGGGGGGGCCGGGACGTCCGGCGCGCCAGCAGCCGAGCGCGGGGCTCGTCCCCCGCGTGGATCGGGAGACGCAGACGGACGGTGAGGGGCCCCAAAGCGGGAGGCGGGAATCTGCAGGGAAGAAGGGAGCGCTGTGCTGGCCCAGTGAGGTGGACAAATCCCCCGATGTCACGGCCCCTCTCCTAGCGCCTCCACGTGCACGGCTTTAGGTGAAGATTAATTAGATTTCTCACCCCAGGTGTGCTCACGGGGCAATCTCTGGTCAAAAGTGTACGAATTGATTCGGTTTGTAGTGTTACACTTGCACCCGCGCCCCCGTACTCCAAATCACACTTTTTTGCAAGGTACAGGTTTGGAAGTTTGTAGGACCTGGGCGCACCCCTTCCTCTCCGCATCCACTTCTTCCTTGCTCGGTTCTGTAGGCTTCTCCTCTAAAGAAATCATAATTTACAATAAAAAGCTGCCTATTGTGAGCCAGGCCCTGTACTAAGGGCTTTTCGGGTTTAATCCTCGCAGTTGTGTTCTGGAAGTGCAGCTGTGTTAGGCTAACTGGCCTCCTGCGGGATTCTTATTCAGCCCTGGAGAGCTTTCCTATCAAGGACTCCAGGCCTGTGGCCCCAGAGGGTTAATCTGTGGGTCTAGAGCCCGGGACAGTGGGCTCAGAAATGAGCACCAAGTGCCTTCTGTCTCTGGAAGTCCCTTCCAGAGGCAGCCGCTGGGAAGAAAGAAGTGCTCTGGGCAGGGTGCTCCAGTGTCCAGTTATCCAAGGCTCTGCTGCCCTCCCACTTGGTGACCAGAGCAAGCTGTCTGCTCTGAGGATGACTGCTTTCCTGACATGGGGGGTCGGGGGGGGGGGGGGGGGGGGGCGGCCAAGGGTCAGTTGGTGTCTGAGGTCTCATCCGGCTAGCTTCAGGACAAATGTCGACACACCTGCTCCTGTGCTCTGGACACAGCCAGAAGGCCAGGATCACTGGGCGTGGATTTCAAAACCCTCAGAACGTTATCCCGACTGCCTGACCTCGCATCCCCCATAGACTCCATCTTCTCACTTTCCTGAATGGTCCATGAGGCTGCCCCACGGCTGCCATGTCCGGGAGGAGAGCCCCTTGTCTGTGGACTGTTCGGTGATCCTCAGCCAAGGCCAGAAAACCCCAGTCCATCCTTGGAAAGAACCCCTTAGTGATGCAGTCCGGGCGGTGCCTCGTCCCCCATCGTCCGTGCCCACCCCGCCGAAAGGGCTTCCTGCTTTCTGCGTCCTCCTACCCTCACCTTCAAGCAGCTTGTGTTGTGTTTCTTGTCCGGACTTTGGCCTCCCGGGGCATTCACTGCCTGGGAGTAGCGAACACGAGAGAAGACAGGAGAAATATCCTGACACCACACAGCAAGTGAATGATCTGGGGCTCCGAGAGGCGGGGGGTCACTTCCAGTTAGGGACCTGAGAAAGGCTGTAGGAGGAGAGGAGTCCACTTGGGATGGATCTGGAAGATAGGAAGTGTTTTGACAGAAGGGGAGAGGGGCCTGATAGAGGGGAGGGGCTTTCGCAAATGCCCGGAAGCAGACCTCCTCACTCACGGCGGCTGAGAGCTGGTCAAGGTCAGAGAGCCTGGGACACTGGGCTGTGACTGTGTTCTCTAGGAGTCAGACTTCCTGCCAGGAGCTTGTGCTCCAGCCGGGAGGCAGAAAGGGCCATGGAAGACCTTCTAGCAAAGTCCTGCATGTGCCTTCTTCCTTGTGCCTGTGGGCCAACCTCATTCTACAAGTGCTCTCTCCCTGCTTCTTACTAAAGAACCCACCCATATTTTCTCCACTGCCACAAAACCCTCACTCCTCTGTGTTTCCTCCATCACTCTCCCCGGGAACAGGGACTTCTTTTCTGTGCCAGTCGGCCCCTTGGTGTGAAATGGAATGTTTCTTTCATCACTACCAGGAAATACTACCCATGTGAGTTTCCCTTTATCTAATTCATTTAAATCAGTGGTTCTCAAGCAGGGGCAATCTTCACACACACACACACACACACACACACACACACACACACACCAGAGACATTTAGCATTGTCTGTAAACATTTTTGGTGGCTACAACTTGGGGGGAGGGGTACTTGCTCCTGGCATCTTGTGGCAGAGGCCAGGGATGCTGCTAAACTTCCTCCAATGCACAGGAGAGTTATCTGGCCCCAAATATCAATAGAGCTGAGGTTGAAAAAAAAAAAAATAGAGCTGAGGTTGAGAAGCCCCAGTTTAAACCAGGTGGAAGCCCCAGGCAAAAGCCCACTGGTGTCTGAAAATCTGATGCTGCAAAGAAGAATGCCTCAGTTGTTCTTGACCTGTCTGCTATATCTGGACAGGGTCCCTGACCCGGGTTTCCAGTCTCTCCAATTCTAAGTTGAATCCCTCAGAGGGATCCATTGCTCTTGACTTCAGGGAATTACTCACCTACTCCTTGAACCTCCTCATGCCAAGGATCAATCAAGTTCAATGCAACGTTATCGATCTGAGCCATCTTCCACTTCTAATCCCTGGTGCCCTTTTCTTTTTCTTCAGTCTTCTCACGACCTTTTTTTTAGTTCAGTAATTTTATAATGATCTGATTCCCTATTGCCTTCTGAAATCATGAAATGAAAGAGCTCTGAATGGGAATTTGGCCTTCTTGGTGCTTCCAATCAGCTGTGTGACTTTGGAAGGTGATTTAACTTCTGTAAATCTCAGTTTCTTTTCTTTACGGTGTTTTCAGGCCCTAGAATCCCTAAACTACTTTCTGTCATTTCATACTTTGTATCGGGTCTAGCCTTGCGTGAAGGTGCCTTCTAGCTATGTCTGCCCTTAACCGTGTCCTGGGGCAAGGGCATCGCCCCCTTGGGAACATGGGGTTAACAGCTGAATATTCACCCAGCTAATGATGCATCAATGGCAGAGGTAGACTACGTCTTCTAATCTTTTTTTTTTTTTTTTTACAAATAGTTTATTGTCAAATTAGTTTCCACATAACACTCAGTGCTCATCCCCACTAGTGCCCTCCTCCATGCCCATCTCCCCTCGCCCCTACATCCATCAGTCCTCAGTTTTTGTCAGCATTCAAGAGTGTCTCATGGTTTGCCTCTCTCCCTTTCCCCCACCATTTCCCCCCTTCTTCTCCCCCTTGTTCCTCAGTTAAGTTCCTCCTAATCCTCCTATACATGCAAACATATGGTATTTGTCCTTTGCCTGACTTATTTCGCTCAGCATAACACCCTCAAGGTCCATCCATGTTGCTACACATGGCCAGATTTCATTCTTTCTCATTGCCATGTAGTATTCCATGGTGTAGATAAACCACATCTTCTTGATCCATTCGTCAGTTGATGGACACTTAGGCTCTTTCCATGTTTTAGCTATTGTGGAGAGTGCTGCTACGAACATTTGGGGTACATGTGCTCCTATGCCTCAGCATTTCTGTATCCCTTGGGTAAATTCCTAGCAGTGCTAGTGCTGGGTCATAGGGGAGTTCTATTGTTAGTTTCCTGAGGAACCTCCACACTGTTTTCCAGAGGGGCTGTACCAGTTTACATTCCCACCAACAGGGTAGGAGGGTGCCCATTTCTCCACATCCTCGCCAGCATCTAGAGTTCTCTGATTTGCTCATTTTAGCCACTCTGACTGGTGAGAGGTGGTATCTCAGTGCGGTTTTGATTTGTATTTCCCTGATGAGGAGGGATGCTGAGCATCGTTACGTCTTCTAATCTGAACACATTCTGTGTTGCAGTCAGTGTGAAGTTTAAGGCTGTCTTCTAAAAATGCTTAATCTGTGTCCATCCTGAAAGGAAAATCATATTTTTACCTTCAAGAAAGATTCATAGTCCCCGTATTGACCTGACAACTTTGGAGATTAAGGGTAGTCAGTTGTTGCAAGAGTAATGAGTTCAAACAAAGTGTAGTTTTCCAAATAACTGTTATGTTTTTAGGGGAACTTCTTTCACCAAAATCAAGGGTTCTTATTACAGTTGGGGATCCCCCACCCCTTCCCACAGTAGGCAGGGCAGGTTTGGGAAGAAGGGGGAAGCTGCTTTAAGATAATCTGAGTGGGGGAAATAGCTGAAATGGGAGAAGCTTGTGGACCTCCATGGACTCCCAAATCTTCGGAAAAGTTACCTAAAACTCACAGAAGTATGGCGAAGTAGTTTGGTTTTGCTATGTGGAAACCAGTGACAGAGCTGAGTGTCACAGCCAGGGCATCTCAGAGTGAAAAGGAAAGTGCACAGGGACCCAGGAACACACCAGCGAAGAGATGCCTGAGGGAGGCACTCAGGTAGCAGAATCATGGGGTCCAGGATGTCACAGACCCTGGGGCCGGGCTGAACCAGGTGCTCAAGGGCCCGGCAGGTGCCTTGTGCCCATCCCAGTAACTGGGGAGGAAGGCAGCAGGCTAGTGTGGGCAGAGAAGACTGTCCCCAGAGCCCTGCCATAGGAGCCACCTTGGCTTTTGTGACCTCACAGAAGGGGTGTAGGTGACTGTTCTCTGCAGGGCTTAGGTCCATCCCGAGACCAGAGCCTTCCCCCAGGGCAGGGGCAAACGGGCCCCCTCCAGGAGGGAGCCGGAAGATTAGGCAGCTCCATGTAGGTCCACATGTAGGTGAAAAGAACCCACCATGAGGAAGGGCAAAAAGAAGAAGCCAGAGTCCAGACGCCGTGGCTCCACCTCTCAGCGGGCCAGCTCTGAATCCACACCCCAGCAGGCCAGCTCAGAGTCTACACCCCAGCAGGCCAGCTCGGAGTCTACATCGCAGCAGGCCAGCCCCAGGTCCACCCCTCGGCCCAGCCCTGGATCCACACCACAGTCCAGCTGTGAATCCACCTCCCAGCAGCCTGCACCCCAGGCTCTCCCAGCCCCAGAAAGCAGACCCTCGGCCCGGGCCCTGGCACCGGCCCCAGCCCCCGCCCTGGCCCCAGCCCCGGCCAGGGGCCAGGGGCCTCAGGACCCTGCCACAAAAGCATCTTCTCGATCCAGGAGATCAGGTGGGTAGGCTTCTAGCTCAAGCACTTCTAGGCTTCCTGCTGATGGGCCCCAGGGGCTGGTTCATTTTGGGGAGTGGTGTTTGGTTGACACATATTCTGGAACTGTGCTTGTGGGGTGTGAGGGTTTGGGGTTTTGTTTTTATGCAAGAGACCAGGATTCCTGGATCTTGCCATTCCTCGCCATCCTGAGTCTCAATGAAGAAGTCAGCCACACATGCATATGGACATTTCACTTGGCTCAGTGGTGATACTCGCTCATTAGGAGTCAGAAGTGCCGTGTGGCTGCTCAAAAATAAAAACCAAGGATGTGTTAATAGAAATATACAGTGTAAAACAAGGGAGGTGGTCATACTCTGTCCTCATCAGGCTAACCCTTGTGTGCTGTAAAAGATGCTTCGCAATCTAGTTTAAGAAAGATAGTCCGAGTTAATGGGGGATGAGAGGGCAGGGAAGCAAGAACCATATGATGTATGAGACTTGGTTGAAGGAATTGGAGGAAATCTGTCAAGTAAATGTTGTAAGTAGACGTGTTCCACGTTGCCCTCGGATGTCTGACCAAGGGCCCATGGACAGGGTTGCTGAATAAAATATAGGACCCCCAGTAAAATTTGAATTTCAGATAAACAATTTTTTACTGTGTGTCCTGAACATGGCACGGGCATTCTGTATTTTTATTTGCTAAATCCGGCTGCCTTACCCGTGGAAGACACTGCAGATTTCTGCTCAACATGAAGAAGACATTTCCGACAATTATTTCCATCTGGAAATGGAATGGCCGTTGAAGAAAAGTGGTCCCCCATCTTCTTGGGGAGCCAGAGTCTGAGTGAACTTTGGATTGTGTAGAGGGAATTTGAGTGGAGTTCAGGAGACAGTCTGCTTCATACTATTGCTGCTGCTAATAATGGTAATAACTAACTAACACTTACCACTGGGTATGTACAATGTACCCAGTATTCAGCTCAGCTGTCTACGTTAATCTTCCCATTTAACGGTCCTATAAAGGAGCTATTATTATTATCCTCTCCCTTTTACAGATGGGGAAACTGAGGCTCAAAGAAATCAGACCACACACTCTCAAGCAAGCACTGGTAGCACTGAGAGGGGAGACTCCATCTATTCTGATTCCATAATTCTTGCTCTTCACTGAGGCATTGACCATATGGTCCCAAGAGTCCAGTGGTTTCCCCAGGAGGAAGAACACCCTTCTCTGGGATTCTGTTGAATTCACCATGAGCTAGTTACAGTGGCTCTATGGTCCTGAGCAGGCCATGCTCTCTGGGCCACAGCTTATTCCTCTGGGATGGTGTGACTAAAAAATAAACGTGGGGTGTAAGTGAGAGAGCTAGATCCAACATATCACTGTGATGACAATTACATTTCCATGGCTACGAATCAATTCACTTTTAACATGCAGAAATCGTTTTGAGGGCTCTACATTGTATATATTGTGACCATCAACCACGGACATAAACATTTTTGGATTGTGGACGTCAGAACTGGTATCTGTAGAAAGTAAAATTTTCCATCCCCAAATCTTTCGATGAATGCATGTGGCTCACCCCTGGGGAAAGGATTCTGCTTATTGAGAAAGCCAACCAGGAAATGGTGGTGGCCCGTCAGCGGTTACAGTGGACTCCCCACACATCTTCGGCCAGAGGAATTTTCCCCCTTTGAACCAGAGTGGGAAAAACAATGTTGGCGATCAGGGATGAAGGCCTTTAAATAAAGGGTGCCATTTTCTGAAGTCCAAATCTTTTTGTATGCAGAAAACATTATATTTCAGGAGAATACAAGTCTTCCACTAAAATGGCTATAATCAAAAGATGGACAGGGGCGCCTGGGTGGCTCAGTCAGGTGAGCAACCAATTCTTGATTTCAGCTCAGGCCATGAGATCAAGCCCTGCATTGGGCTCTGCACTGACAGCATGGAGCCTGCTTGAGATTGTCTCTTTCTCTCTCCCTTTCTGCCCGTCTCCCCAGTTCGCACACTCTGTCTCTCAAAATAAATAAGTAAACTTAAAAAAAAAAAAGTGAAGTTACCATGTGATCCAGCTATTCCACTCCTGAGGACATACCCAGGAGAATTAAAAACACAACATCCAGACAAAAACGGGTACATGATTTTCACAACAGCTTTAGTAATAATAGTCAAGAAGTGGGGGGATAAAAACCTCAATATCAGCCACCTAATGAATGGATAAACAACATGAGGTGTATTCATACAATGAAATACTATCTAACGATACTGACATGGGCTACCACATGGATGAACCTCAAAAGTATTAGGCTAAGTGAGAGGAGCTACTCTCCAAAAAGTCCACACGTGTGATTGCATTTATGAAATGTGCAGAATAGGCAAATTTATTGCCAGGAAATGGGCGCAGAGGGAAAAAGCAGTCCCTGCTTAATGGTTATGGGCTTCCTTGGGGGGAAGATGGAAATATTCTGGAATTAGACAGTAATGATGTTTGTACCCCTTTGTTAATTTCCCAAAACCACTGAAAACCTCAAGGGGTAAATTTCATGTACAGGACTTAAATGTCTATTTGAAAAAAAAAATTGTTTTGACAAAGAAAAAGGATCAGTGTTGCCTTTAAAGTCCTTTCCTCCCCCATTGGGGCCGGGGGGCTGGGGGGGGGGGGATAGTATCTGTCGTGGGCGGGTCTAAGCAGGAAATGTGCTGGCAGTCAATTGCTGATTTCATGGAGCTTTTGATGGAAGAATCCGGAAGAATCCGTAGCTCGGTCAGGAAGCCAAGACTGAAGCCACCACGCGAGGAGGCAGTTATCCGGCCAGAAGTACTCTTGCGTCACAGCTGACGGGCCATCTCCAAGTTCCGCTGCGATCCTTGGCAGGGAAGTTCAGGGAAGTGTTTCAAGGACGGTAAATCGGAGCAGCAGCTGTCTTCTGGATAAGTCAGTGCACCCGGGAAAACGGACCGTGGACCAGCTGCAGGAATGTCAGATGCCGCCTCTCCTCTCCCGGAGCCCGCCGTCCCCCGGTGCTGTCAGTTTCCGTGAAGTCTGTGGAAGGAGCCCCGAATGAGTTAGAAACCCTGAGCTGAAGCCCACTTCTTCAAGCTACTTGTCATAAGGGCACAACCCATATACTCTTCGAGCCTCTGTTTCCCCATCTGCAAACTGAGAATAGCGATATTCGACTCCGCAGGGTCATCCTGACAAAGACATGATCATGAGGTGAGGGAGGGGCACTTGACCGTGGAGGCTGTCAGCGGCTTGGGCTTGGAGTCCGCAGGGAGCTCCAGCTTCCCCTGCTGCTTCTCTTCTCTCCTGGGCGTCCCGGGCTCCCGCGGCCTCCTGGAGGCAGCGGGCCCCTCATCTCTCTCCTTCTCTGTCCATCCAGGGTCTCTGACTCGTGCGGGACCGCGGGCCTTCTGCTCTTGTTCCGCTTGCCCCGGCAGCTCTGCTTGCTGGCGTCGTCTGGGCCTGTGTCACAGCCGCATCTTCGATGTCCTCCTTCCTCGGGCCTGGCCGACCATGCCAGGAAGAGGATTTCCAAACCTCCTCACTTTCTACAGGTTCTGGGGCGAGTGGGGGGCTGGACTCTCAGGGCACACAGTTCCCGGGGCCGGGCTCTGCCCCGGACCAAATTAGCAGCCCTGGGTAACTTGGGAAGCCCAGGCGGAAAGGAAGCCTCTCGGGGGCAGCCATTTCCTGGGGTTTGGCACCCTGCCCTTTCCGACCAGACCCACACCCCAGGGTGCCCCACCTGCACGGAGAGGTGCCGATTTTCTTCCTTACCGAAAATGGCTTCTTTAAGAGGCACGTTTTTCTTTTCTCCATAGGCACACTGCTTCCTCAGAGTCTATGCCTTCATGGCCCTTAGTAAATTCCCTGCCACCCAAGCTTTGTGACTAAATGCTATGTTTGGCGATTGGCCTTCTTCTGTGGCCCATACCACGGCTGAGAGCTTCAGGCAGCTTCTTGACCTCTATATGAATTGCCCCCAGAAATTAGTGACAGATACTGATTGCAAGTCACACGTCCCCTTGGTAATAGCAAGATCCCCACCTCCTTCAGCGGTTTCCGGCTACTTCCGGCAGCTCCACAGGACACATGCCCCCAGGCTGGGCAGCCTCTCACAGCAACTTCCACAGTATCTGGCCTCCTTTTCCTCTTCCACGGAGCCATCAAGAGAAAGCCACCCCTCATGGGAAGACCCTCATGCAGAAAACTGGACTGAACATATCAGTCCACTTTCCCAGTGGCGCAGGGTGGTGTGCAAGGGCTGGGGGGGGGGGCCGGGAGCCCTGATCTGCACCCCCGTCCCGGGCCCCAGAGTAGTTGCACATGTATTCAGGGTCTCACGGATGTCCACAAAGCGGCTTCCCACTTGGGGATCTCACACCCCTTAACCCAGGAGCAGAGCCCACCCACCCCTCACTCTCATCCTGCTCCTCTTCCTGGCGTCTCCGCCGCCAGATCCCTTCTCCTGTCCATCCTTGAAAAGCACCATCTCTCAGACACACAAGAAGCAAACAGATACCCAGGTGTGTTGGGAGAACATGAGTAAAGCCAAAAATACAACCTGGTAAGTCCCCATCAAGGAACGACCTGCCCACGGCTTCCCCGACGTTACTGGTGTTCTTCCCACTCACTTTGTGTCCCTGTCCATCTGGTGTTAAGCCGCCCCATGGATTCGCATCACTTTAAAACCAACATGTAGGAAACCCTACTCTGCATAGAATACTAAGCACTGTGAGGAAAACCAGAACAGGGAACTTTACCCTTAACAACTGCACAGTCACCGCGGTTACGCTGAGACATGAACATTAGAATGTCAGATGCAAGCCAGAAAGTGACATGTGTCCTAGAGATGTTCAAAGAGCTTCAGGAAAAGAGTGCTCGTGGGGCGCCTGGGTGGCTCAGTTGGTTAAGCATCTGACTTCGGCTCAGGTCATGATCTCACACTTCGTGGGCTCGAGCCCCGTGTCGGGCTCTGTGCTGACAGCTAGCTCAGAGCCTGGAGCCTGTTTCTGATTCTGTGTCTCCCTATCACTCTGTCCCTCCCCTGCTCATGCTGTCTCTCTCCCTCTCAGAAATAAATAAACATTAAATAATGTTTAATGTTTAAACATTAAACAATAAACATTAAAAATTTTTTAAAAAGAGTGCTCACTCCTAAATCAGGGTCCAGGGAGACTTGGTGATGTCATTGGTATCTGAGCTGAGTCAAAAAGGGTCTTGGCATCCCTTGTGGCTTAAAATGAGGAGAGAGAGAGCATCCCAGGTGGAGGAGGGAAAGGTAAAAGCAGGCTCAGAATTCGGAAAGTGAGGGGAAGGGGCAGAGATGCAGTGGCCAGGGTAAGACCTGTTCGTCTTGATTCCACTCAGGTTTTAGCACCAGCTTCCGTAATCTCTACATCTCTCACGGGGGTGGAATGTTAGATCTTGGCTTGAAATACATCTTCACGTTAAGTAAGATTCTCTACTTCAGTAGGATGGGTGTCGACACAGATACTGCATTTTGTAAAAGCCTTCCTCGTGAGCACGATCATCTAGTTTCCTTGCCTGTGTGGTGCGGGTCATACGTTGTTTCCTTGGACTCCTCATCTCAAAAAGAGAGTCACATGACGGAACCTGCTTCACATGCTTGTTGTAAGGCTTGAGGAAGGACACCAGGCATGAGATGCTTAGCACGGGGCCTGGCACTTCGTAGCCTTCACCGTCTTTGCACCCTTCTCCCCTAGTGTCCCAGGAAGCTGGCACCCCAGGCTAGCCAGTCCTCAGGCACAGGGGCTCTCATGACAGAGATTTATTGGAAGGGGTGGGCGGAATTGCATTCCCCGGTGGGGAGAAGGCATTCCTGAGATCTTGAGGGAACCCTACGATTTCTGCCTTTTCTGCCTGTAGACAGCGCTAGAGTCCCAGCTGCCTCCAACCTGTGGGCTTTCTGTTTCGCTCTACAGAAGACCTGAAAGAAAACACCCCACTCATCGTAATTCACGTGCTCCAAGCCCTCGGGACTGTTGCTGCGGCTCTGGGAGCCCTGGGGGCTGCCTACTACATCACTGAATCCTCGTGAACGAGCCCCAGGCCCGCGGTCCGGCAGGTACGTGGACACCCTCTCTGTGCCCGCGCCCCCTTGCAGAGGTGGTCCTTAAGCCACCGAGCCACCATCCTTGCAGGACGGGGGCCGAGGGAGTGTCTGCTCCTTCTCGGAATGAAGGAGGAATTTGTGGGTGGACCAAGCTCCCAGCCTTTCAGGGAAAGCTTAAGAACCGAGCTTCCTGGCTTCAAGGTCACCCGGCTCTCTCAAGCAGCCCTGATGCTCTTGGACAACGCTAGACCCATTACTGGGATTATCAGACCAGGGTCCCCCCAACCCCCACTGACCTGGGATACCAGACAGGAGGAAATGGGAGACGTGGAGCAAAGGTTCCTACCCTTCCTAGGGACCTTCCTTGGAACTTTCTCTCCCTGCCAAGAAAACTTTCTCAAGTGCAACCTATCCTTCGTGGTCCCATTCCTTCCATCAGCCTTCCCTCAGGGCAGCTCCGGTGACCTCTCCTCTCTTCACACTCATTTTCTCCAGCCTGTTCCATCTTGTGCTGTGGATGATTGTTTTTATACATACATGGCCTGTCTCTGCAACTATCTTGCAAAGATCCGTGAGGGATCCTTAAGGCATCCTCGGAGACGCCTCACCCAGCATCTCCAATCCTCCCTTGTTTCAAGCCAGGCTCCTAGGGGCAGAGCTTGAGACACGGATTTGGGCAGAATTTGTGGAGGAAAACGGGAGTGAGGGAGGTAAGAGAGGACAAAGGAAGGAGTAGAGCGAGGAGGGGATCTCAGCGGGAGTCCAGCTTCAGCTTGACCCCAGGGGAGCTTTACACCACAGAGCTGGTCTCACCTTGGGGGGCAAGAAAAGTGGCCTTCTGTGCTTTCCTGTTACTGAGTCTCTGGCATAGGAGTGGGTGGGGAGTGTACGTCTCTGTGGAAGAGCGGATCGCATTTGTCCTCCCCTGAGAAGCTCCCGGGGAAGGAGGCAGCTGTTAGCAGCTGACATTCACAAGTCCCTGGAGCTGGGGAATGGACTCACCAGTCCAGAAAGGGGATCTGGGTGGGCACCAGGAGCACGCACTGCTGTCCCCATCGTCAAGTCCCCATTGCAGTGAATGCCTGCCAATGCTGGTCAGGTGGTAATGGCAGCTTTTCCGCCCACCCCCAGACCTCCACCAGCCACACAGAATGCACACTGGGTGGGAACAGGTGCTCCAAGTATCTCAAAAGCCCGACCCCAACAGTAAACTCACCATCTGCTCAGGGGCTCTGCTGCCTGACAAAGGGACCATTGTGGAGGAATGGAAGCACCTTAAGTTTCACGAGGTACCATAGCAGCTGAGGGCCTCAGCTTCTCCATCTAGAAATAGGGAAGACCATGGGACCTTCCTCTCAAGGTTGTTGGAATATGAGATAAGGTTCCCAGAAGATAGGGCTGCCCAGATGGCAGATCTTGTTACTTCTACCACCGTGGGGGGTGGTTGGAAAGATGCAGGCTTTGGAGTAGGTTCCAGACCTGACTCTGCTACCTGGAGGCTGGGTCTTAGGGGACACATTACTTAACTTCTGTAAGAGCCATGCCATTGCTAACATAGGGGACTAGTGACTACCTCCAAGGGCGATGATTTTGAGGACACGATGAGGGGAGGTTCAGACAGGACAGGACAGTCACAGGGGTTGGGTAGATGGTGACCAGGAGTCTGAAGAATGCCCCTGAGCCATTTTGTTCTAGAAGCTTCTTGCAACAGGGCCCACGGTGTCCACTTGGGTTTCTGTCACTCGAGGCAGGCTAGCTTGACGTCAGACCCTGTCCCACACCCAGGATCTCTGGAGCCTGGGACAAGTCCCTTAATTCCTGACACCTCATTTTTCTTCTTATTAAATGGAGGTGATAACAGTGCCCCTCTCAGTGGGTTGACACCTGTAATATTCCTTACTCTTTTTAAAATTGGCTTTCTTTTTAACTTAAATGCATTTATTTTCAAGGGAAATCTAAGTCTGGCCTTAAATGGAAAATCCTATCCCTTGCCAGAAAAAGACTACACGGTAGATATAAATCCACAATGTCATGGAATTCTAGCCGACAAGGGTACCTGAAAAAGCCTCCATTTTCAAGGCAATGCCCTTGTGTTCAAAGGACAGGTGGTGGGTGTTAAGACAGGCAGCTCCATGCTGAGACTCTGTCTTCCGTGTTGGAACCAGAGTTGAGAGACGATGGGACTGGCGGGGATCCCATTAGTGAATGTGAAGCATCTTACTGTAGTTCACACAGCCCTGAGCCCGGCGTGGAGGGTACGGGGGGGGGGGGGGGGGGGGGGGGGGGGGGGGGGGGAGAGGGGGAAATGGAGAGGAGGGGACAGGGATGAAAACCCACCCAGGGTCTGGAGTAGTCACTCCCCCAGGGAGTGACTGAGAGGAAATCAATGGTAGAGTCAACAAGACCCCAGAGGCTAAAGCCCCGAGTGTGCTGGGGGGGTTGGGGGGGAGGGGATCACGTGGCTGGTGGGGCCCTATATGGCCAACATCACTTAGAAACGCACGCAGTGCACAAACTTCACACAGCTCTCCTTTTTCTTCCGCTCTGAGGGGTAACTCATGATGTCCTCTCAGGGTGGGCCCACTGCCTGGATGGAAAGCTAGGGGGCAGCTTTCTCGGGGCCAGTTGAAATCAGCCCAGGGATGGGACTCCAGCCTGACAGGTTGGTCCTCCCAGGGACGAGGGACCAGGGACAGGCTGGTCCTCTCTCTGCACAGAGCTGTCCCACAACCACTCTGGTTTCCCTTGAGGGAGAGGGAGGCTGTGCCACCAACCCTGAGTGGCCTGAGACAGGGTCCTTCCCAGGCCCCACGGCTCATGCCTGGCAGTTCTGATGAGGTGGCCTTTCCCCACGTGACCCACTGCTTTGGTCAAATTACTGTTCAGCACTGGGATGGCATTGGAGCACTCAAAATGCGTTTTAACTGACCTTGGCTGGCCTGGCTTCTTCCAGAACTGCTTCAGCCCTAGCCTGTGCTGCAGGGTCCTATCCGTCATTGAGTAGACACTGCAAGTCTAAGGGTCTGAATACGGCACCACCAGCAGGGGTCAGAAGAGGCCTTTCTAGAAGCCTAGAAGTTGCAGTGACAGTTTCTGGACACTAGTCAAACATAGCGTCTCCCACTCCAACTCCCCACTGTCCCCCCACATGAACCCCTACAAACTCTGTAAACAGGCAAGTGGGGCAGCACAGCTGTGACATGTCAGTACTGACCATGTGGCCAGCATCACACTGGGTACGGTGAGACATGATGACACAGAAGTCCATCAACAGGCCAAGGCTAGGCTTGGGACTCCGAGGTCTGGTAAAGTCTGTGCATCTAGGCTGGCCAAGGTCCCCAGGAGAGGGAGACAGGGGATAATAATTCACGTGGTGACACTAACGCTTACCTGACATCCAAGCTAGAATGCAGAGCCCAGATGGGGGGAAAGAGTGCTCATTAATGAAATAATGCATTCATTCATTAAATATTTCTTGGGTACATATGCTGTGCTATAGAAGTAACCCAAGGTGGACAAAGGCCTCCCCTGACGGAGCCTACATTCGCATGGGCACAGACACTCGACAAGTTAATGAATAAACAAGATCACTGGATTGTGTGGCAAATGTTATCAAGGAAATAGAGATATAAAGTTGATCTGATTAAGAACAGAGTTAAGGTCGGCGTGATCAGGAAGGGATGTTGCTAGAGACAGGCTGGTCTGCAAAGGCTTCTCTGAACTGAGGCACATATGGCAGAAAGAGCCAGACTAGGCAAATATGTCTGTGTTCTTGCTGACAGAATAGCAAATCCAATAGCCCTGAGGCAAGAAGGAGCCTCTCGTGTTTTGGGGGCCAGAGAAGAGGCCAATATGGCTGAAGCCAAGATGCCCCTGGAGGGGAGACCAAGGTCAGGCAGGGCCTCAAGGATTTCTGTTGTGTTCCAGATGGGTTGAAAGCCCCAGAAGCAGGGCAGGAGCAAATTCTTATATAGCACTTCCTGTGGGCAGGCAATGTTCCGGGCACTTCATTCATCCTCCCCTCAAAGGGAAGTCTCTCAAGCTGCTGATTTAGATTTCAAAATAATTGCAGTTCCTGTTGGATCGAGAATGGAGAAGGGGGAGGAGGACCAGGTGGGAATTGTTTGTGCTGATCTAGGCAGGTCAAGATGGCGCTTGGAACAGGGTGATGGCTCTTACGGGTACAGAACCAGCAAGTCTAGTGCTGATTGAATGAAACATTGAGGGAAAGGAAGCCTCAAGGATGAGTCCTTGAGGGGTCCTTGCCAGAGGCACAGGAGAGGATAGTAATCAAGAGTTCTGTTCGTTGTTACTGTTGAGATGCTGGACAACCAAATGGACATGTCATGTAGGCAGATGGATAGATGGAAGTCACAGGAAAAGCCAGGTCTTAGCTCCAAGCGTAGGAGTGATTAGTAATAGCTGAGATACGCAGCCACAGGCAGTGGCTAAGATGACTCAGGGAGAAGGCATAAACAGAGCAGAGAGCCAAGCACTGAGGCCAGGAAGAGGCCATTTAGAAGCCTGCTAGTGAAGGAAGGTGCCTATGGATACAACATCCGCCGTGGGTCTGCTCTGGGTCTAGGCAAGCAGGCAGGGTCCCTGTAAGTTCTCAGAGATAAGGAGAACAGATAGGTTCAGGTCAACAAGTGGTGTCCACAGGTTCGGAAAGGCAGCAAGGAGACAAGAATCTCAATGGAAGGGGCTGAGCAGAGTGGGGATCACTGATCATAAGGATCCTGCCACTACCTTCTGTTTGTCCACAGAGTGTGGACAGACAGACATATGCTTCCCTTTCCTAAGGGAAAGCACACACTACAATAGGTAGGAATGTTTTTAGAAGGTAATATGGGAGCCAAGTGCAGAATGAACTCCCACTGCTGATCTGTTGGCTTGGAGGAGTGCTTTAGCTACTGAAAGCAACCCAGAGGTATGTGAAAGTCAGTGTGTGTGTGCATGGTGGGGGTACGCTGAGCCATCCTGAGTTCCGTAGCCCTCAGCAGTTAGACCCC